TTTGCTCTGATTACTGCTTTGCACACTCTTGGCATTCTCTCCATGAGCTTCAAGAGGTAGTCACCTGAAATGGTTTCCACTTCACAGGTGTGCCTTATCAGGGTTAATTAGTGGGATTTCTTGCTTTATCAATGGGGTTGGGACCATCAGTTGTGTTGTGCAGAAGTCAGGTTAATACACAGCCGACAGCCCTATTGGACAACTGTTAAAATTCATATTATGGCAAGAACCAATCAGCTAACTAAAGAAAAACGAGTGGCCATCATTACTTTAAGAAATGAAGGTCAGTCAGTCCGGAAAATTGCAAAAACTTTAAATGTGTCCCCAAGTGGAGTCGCAAAACCATCAAGCGCTACAACGAAACTGGCACACATGAGGACCGACCCAGGAAAGGAAGACCAAGAGTCACCTCTGCTTCTGAGGATAAGTTCATCCGAGTCACCAGCCTCAGAAATAGCAAGTTAACAGCAGCTCAGATCAGAGACCAGATGAATGCCACACAGAGTTCTAGCAGCAGACCCATCTCTAGAACAACTGTTAAGAGACTGCGCGAATCAGGCCTTCATGGTCAAATAGCTGCTAGGAAACCACTGCTAAGGAGAGGCAACAAGCAGAAGAGATTTGTTTGGGCCAAGAAACACAAGGAATGGACATTAGACCAGTGGAAATCTGTGCTTTGGTCTGATGAGTCCAAATTTGAGATCTTTGGTTCCAACCGCCGTGTCTTTGTGAGACGCAGAAAAGGTGAACGGATGGATTCCACATGCCTGGTTCCCACTGTGAAGCATGGAGGAGGAGGTGTGATGGTGTGGGGGTGTTTTGCTGGTGACACTGTTGGGGATTTATTCAAAATTGAAGGCACACTGAACCAGCATGGCTACCACAGCATCCTGCAGCGACATGCCATCCCATCCGGTTTGCGTTTAGTTGGACGATTATTTATTTTTCAACAGGACAATGACCCCAAACACACCTCCAGGCTGTGTAAGGGCTATTTGACCAAGAAGGAGAGTGATGGAGTGCTGCGGCAGATGACCTGGCCTCCACAGTCACCGGACCTGAACCCAATCGAGATGGTTTGGGGTGAGCTGGACCGCAGAGTGAAGGCAAAGGGGCCAACAAGTGCTAAACACCTCTGGGAACTCCTTCAAGACTGTTGGAAAACCATTTCAGGTGACTACCTCTTGAAGCTCATGGAGAGAATGCCAAGAGTGTGCAAAGCAGTAATCAGAGCAAAGGGTGGCTATTTTGAAGAAACTAGAATATAAAACATGTTTTCAGTTATTTCACCTTTTTTTGTTAAGTACATAACTCCACATGTGTTCATTCATAGTTTTGATGCCTTCAGTGAGAATCTACAATGTAAATAGTCATGAAAATAAAGAAAACGCATTGAATGAGAAGGTGTGTCCAAACTTTTGGCCTGTACTGTATATGATAGTGCAAGTACTCCTGCACTTAGGCCAATGCACTATACAGTACAGATGTTTGAGAGTAATTTTTACATCAAACCCTCTCTTGCCCGATTTTATGTTTCCCCTGAAGTCTGGGTCTTTGCCAGACAGACAGCATACATGCAGATAGGAGCAAGAAAGAGGCCAGACAGATTTAGCGTGGAGTCACTCAACCCTAATGGAAACAGCGGAAAAGGAGAGACTGTGTGTGCACACTCACACTTTTGCATGAATTACATAGCCTCAGCAAGAGATGTCATGATGGAGACAGAGAGCAACCCTGATGACTGCATAAAAGATGTATTATAGTACGTGTTTCATAAAATAATTATGATGCTTGAGTAAAATACTGCCATTTATGCCACTTAGAGGATGCTCCCGTTTAAGTGTATCTAACAGAGTCTATACACCTAGTAGGTCTTAATTCGGGTCTCCACTTGAAAAGAAGCCATTGGGATTTAGTGTCTGAATGGGTGTAGCTGTGTGTGGGTGTGTGGTTAACAGTAAGAGGCTATTCCACTGCAACTGTTCACGTTTTTGCACACTTAAAATGTGCTATGCGTACTTTTAGAATTTTCTCCAATGCTGTAAATCTGTGATGTTAGGGTAGAGTGTGATACAGTGATTGACTGGATTTGCCCCCGGCTATCTTCACACAAAATATATGAAACACAGCTGTCTTTGATCGCCTTTATTAGCTGATGGCACAGATATGACAAAAAAAAAGGACCAAAGTGGAAGCTCCAGGCACATTTTCATCCAACAAAAGTCCTCAAAAGAAACTGAGAAAGAGGAAAGGATTGGAATTTCCAGGCAGATTGTCTGCAGCTGATACCACACTCCTAATTGATCTGCTTGTGTCTTTTGGTGACCCAAAGGACACAAGCAGATCAATTAAGAATGAAGATATCAATACCGAGTTGTATTATGTAACAGTACATCCCGACATACCATCTCCTTTGATGGGAGGCTGTGTTACACTGGGTACAAAAATGAATTTTGAAACCAGTAATTGCTCATAACCACCAAACAGTGTAATAGCGAAAGCTGCCCCATGGCATCATTTACAAATTAAAGTCAATTAAATATAGTCAGGGGCGGCATGGTGGTGTGGTGGTTAGCACTGTTGCCTCACAGCAAGAGGGTTGCCGGTTCGATCCCGGGTGTGGGAGCCCTTCTGTGCGGAGTTTGCATGTTCTCCCCGTGGATTCTCTCCAGGCAGTCCGGCTTCCTCCCACAGTCCAAAGACATGCACATTGGGGACTAGGTTAATTGATAACTCTAAATTGTCCGTAGGTGTGAATGGCTGTTTGTCTCTATGTGTCAGCCCTGTGATAGTCTGGCGGCCTGTCCAGGGTGTACCCTGCCTCTTGCCCGATGTCAGCTGGGATAGGCTCCAGCCCCCCCGCGACCCTCAAGAGGATGAAGCGGTTAGAAGATGAATGAATGAATAGTCAGTGGAGTCTAATTATATACAGTAGGTAATAACACTGAATTTCTGGTGCAGGATGCTTTTACATTAAAACTGTGTTGGGTTAGGTTGATGAACACAATGTATGCTTTTATTAGAGGTTACAATCAGTCAAATTGCTTTTATTCAGAATAACAAACAACACTGCAGTCCAGATTGGGTATGTAGTGTGTCTGGTCATGCTGGTCTCGTCTCATAAGTTTTCCCTTCCAAATGGAGAAGATTATTGCGCTTATAGACCTATGTCTTAAGAGTTGTTGCTCCTGATATTCCATAATAGTATAATCCAAAATAGGCTTTTAGTTGCTCATATTTACCAGCCATGACAAGCATCAGCTGTTATTGTTTTCATCACGTGAGTCTGTGTGTGTGTCATTGTGGCAGAATGTGGTCTTTGTGAAACCAGTTGAAATGGGAACTACCACAAAAGCTATTTGAATATTCAAGCAGGTGTTAATACGTCTGTCTGCATGTGGTCAGATTTTATCAATGAGCGTCACAACCATGCAAGACGCAGTCACGTAACTTTACAGATGTGTTGTTGAGATCAAAATGAAGGTGGGGTTTGTGCTATGCAAATTTGTGTCACTGAGGATAGCGGAGGAATGATCCACCTCACTCTGCCCAAACCTAACCAAAGCAACCAGTGAAGGCAACAACGCAATTATGTGTGACTTTTAATAAAACGTAGATTGATGAGTTATATAAAAATTCAACCCCTGTACAGTTGTCATGAGTGTTAGAATTAGCTGTAGAGACTAAACCATTTATTGTACCAGGCTACAAGAATGTTGGGTATTGTTAATATGGGGGTCGATGGGGACTGACTGGCTTCCGGAGCCAGTCTCAAGTGGCCATTAAGGGAACTACAGTTTTGGGCACTTCCACGTTGGCTTCATTTTTCAGTCCCTGAAGCTGCCATTAGGTGCACTCAAAGCAAAGTGACTGGAAACAGGGTAACAGGTAGTAGCGAAGAGGCCATTGATCCCCCCCACTTTATGCCCCTGGACCACATTCATTTAAGTCACAGATTGCTGTATTGTGGCTGTTGTGATCCCATTGCAAGATGGTCTCTAGTTTTATATTGTTTTTACACTTAAGCATACGTTCCAGTAGTATTTCCTTTACGTTGTTATTGCTGTATTGAAGGACAGTCTTGAAGGATGATTCATTCTTTTATCTCTGTCAGAGACTTGCTCTAATGTCTCAGCTTTACCTTGTCAAACCCCTTTAAGATCCACCAAACACCCTCCTGACTTACTCATGTTGTGAGACTTTAACTATCATACTCAGGTTTTTTTGCTTTATAATGCTTTATAATGTATGATTTACTAAAGTTCTAGCATCAGCTGCACTAAATGCCCATGTGCAAACCATTATATTCATTATTTGCAGCATGAACATTCAATACATGTAATACTCTATTATTTTTGTTCTGGGTGACTGTTTCATAACAGTAGTGAAACATGATACATGGTCATTACTGCAGCATCACTTTGTATCAGTCTTTCTTGATATAGCAGCAGTAAGTGAGTATTTGCTGATGTATTATTTCAAGTGGGTGATTAGAGCAGCGGCAGATTGGGACTAAGTAGAGATGCAAACGTTTAAGGGAGTTTTTGGAAAAACCCGTGCTTTGCGGCACAAACACAAGGCTCACACACAGTCTTGTGCCACAATTTCCCACAACATGCAAATGTATGCAAATGCATTCTGGTGATCGTTCCATGGCAACCATTATGTGTGCGCTGCAGATCTTCTACTACCAGTCAAATACTTTCCCAACTGTTGGCAGCAATTTGTTGCAACCTCCTTACTGTACATCCAAGTGAATGATAGTGGCTGAATTGCTATATTTTAGTATGCAGTCATTTCAGCTGCAGCAGTAGTTGTCAGAGCGGCCATGCTGTGCTGAGATGTTTCTTTTTTTTTTCAAACTTGTAATGCATGCTTACTGCTCTGTCAGCACTCACAGCCAATTACTTAAAATGAGCAGTCAATAATCACTCTTTCGTTCATTCTCACTCCCGCCCTCTCTCTCCACCATTCTTTCTTTCCGTACTTCCTGTTTGCAGGTAGACACGTCCTAATGGGTGACGCCCACTGATCCAGTTTGCCCCTGCATATCCCCTCCACCCCTCACCCCTGCCCTCCTCTGTTCTCCTACACGCCACCTCCCTTCACTTCAGTCACCATGACTTCCACCAGCCAACTGCTGGGTTTGGCTGAGGTGGGGCTGAAGTGCGACCAGGAGATTGAGAGGAGATATGAGATCGTTCCCTCAGTGGTCTGCTCCATGTGCTGCCTCTTTGGAATCATCTACTGCTTCTTTGGTGAGTGATGATGTACTAAAAGCTTTCCTTGAACACTCTGAGCTGTTACTCACCAAAACGCACCTAAAAAGTTCTCTTGCATTTAATGGGATCTCTGAAAAATATGATTTCACAAAAAGTTTGAAACGTGTTGTAGTGTTATTTCAGAATGGGGTGTGTAAGTCTGTTAAAAATACAACTTGCCACTTTTGCCTGTCAGCTGCAAAAAGCTCTCCACCATTAGTTAGAGTACTTTTGCTGCTCTATTATTGGCACAAGTGGTCTGAGTGTCTTTTTATCCCAGTCCCATTTTATATAGAGAACCTACGGAAACTAAATGCTTCCTGTTCAGTTTTAACAATAAAGCAAGTATGCTCATTACCCAGCATGTCAAACTATTCCTCTAGCATTAGCTTTACAGAATAATGTCAAAATACATACATAGCATTCATACATAAGTTTGTGCTTGCTTTGCTGTGCTCATCTAAAAAATAAACTATAAAGCCCCAAACTGGACATCCTAGGCATTAATTATTAAATCTAAAAAGAATCAGGGAATTGATCCACAACATAAACATATTAAGAAAAAATGGAATTAGCAAGGAAAGCATGTATTGCAAAAATCAATACAGAATAGAGGAACATTAGCCTACAATGAAAACATTAAAGTAATACTGTAAAAAAATATGGAAAATATATCATATCAAGTATCAAGTATAACCGAAAAAAATCTGCCAGTAGAATAAATTAGAGACAGGTTGGAAACACTGGAGAGTGACATGTAGCTGAGATATATTCCCTATATGTGTAAGTGCCAAGAAATAATTGGCAAGTGCTAAGACATGCAGCCCTGAAATCTAATTTCTAGTTCATTCCACTCTGTTGGCATATGATATTATTGATTTAAGAGCAGTACAGAGAGCTTGTCTTGTTTCTGGCTATGTGAATCAGTAATGAAATCTCATTCCTACAGACAATGCTATTGTGGCTATATGTTCATATGTTTCCTTAGAATTACATCCTATTAAATCCTTGAATATTCATTACCCTTGCACCCTATCCGCAATTGCTGTCATCAGCAGACATGCTAAAAGGATTGGACTGCCTGCTGCCTTTTAAAGTGGAAAAAAATATATTCTGCGCCTTATTCAAAGGCATGTTCCCGTTTCTTTCAACTAAATGTTGCAACAGCACTACTGAAAGAAAAAAAAAAGCACAGAGATTTGCAATTAATCAAAAATACCAGGCCTAACTGGCAGTGGACCCCTGTTGGTTCTTTTTTGTTTTGTTTGGGTTTTTTTTTTCTTCCATTCCTCTTTGCCATCAAATGCCCAGACTCATACTTAATGCATGGGTCTATTCATATGGTAAAATGCAGAGTCCTTACTTGCAGCTTAATTTTGTGCCCAGTGAATGACTGTGTTTGATTGCATTACAAGTATTAAGGGCTCATCCTAATGAGTTTGGATGTTAAGTCATTACAGGAATGTGTAATCAATAAATAATTAGAGAGAGCGAGATGCTGTGAATGGTTACAGGCTTTTTACATTAGACTTGTTTTTGTTGCAACAAAAAATGATGGATTAAAATTTGTATTCCCACTTGGATAGAGATTGGCAAAATCACATAAAAGTCCTCAAACAGTGACATTGCATTCAAAGTGTCTCGTGCATTTTTGTACAAAGGTATAATTAATATTAGTAAATTGCCTTGGGTTGGCTTATGGGCCTGTGTAATCATTTACTCAGCTATTTTCTAGTTAAACAGGCAGTGGCAGGGATTTTCATCACGCCATGGCTGTGTGAATTAATGACAGCTTTGCAAGGACTGTAGGTGTGCAGAATCAGATGCATACAAATAGTTTTTAAATGTTATTATTTGCCTTTACTAGGGACACTTGCACTCTGTTCCAGTGACATGGTTTGCATCAGCAACCCCGACCGCCATGCTTTGTTGCAATTACCATCACAGTGGATTTACACATACTTTTATTGACATTTTGATTTCTAAACAGGAACTCAACATACTGTAAGCATTAGAGCCATACAATAATGTACAGAGAAATTGACAGATCAAAAATACTGAATTATATTGTGTAGAAAATATATAGAATTACAATTTCTTGAAAGCAACCTCTGGGCTCTTTTTGGGTGAATATTGATGTATGTTGAAGCTCGTAGCAGATGTGTTGCATACAAATAGACAGAGAGAGACCCACTGAAGCATACAGACAGCATTAACATTCACTGTATATGTCTTGGTAAAGCATAGATGTCAGTCTCCGCATCACAAACAGGTTGCCCAACAAGTTTATTTTACAAAGTTGACAGCATGCAACAAGACCACAGCGGACTCACAGCCATGAGATAAAATTGTTGGATGGATAAAAAAATATGTAGTGAACATTGCTATTCCTAGATCCTCACCACTAGTAGGGCAGAAAATGTCAAGTTTGCCCGTAGGGTGGTGCCAGACAAATCTCACTTTAAATGCACTTTATAAGCTTCGGTTGTACTTGGAGTATGCTGCTAGCATTAGTATGCCAACAATGAAATAATTGCATTTACCAAGTTGTTAAAGTTTTCTGTGTCTGCTTAATTAACACCAGCTCTGAAAGTCCTCCAGTTTACAAAAACTCCAATTTAGAGAATCAGCACTGATTAAAACAGTTTTTATATATGCCTCCAAAACATTAAAAGCAAAAAGTCACATTAAAAGACAGAATGGCGTCAGTTTACATCAAATACTTAAGCTCCTTGGTCCTTCACCATCTGTTGTCTGTTTGTTTCTGTGTTTGTGTGACAGTCTACTCTGAAAAAAGAGAGTTGCATATTCACCCTCAGTGCCAGAACTTGCTCTGTAACCAAACAAAATCCCTGTTCTGCAAATGAGATACAATGCATATAGTTGACGTTTCTCAGAAACCCCACAGTCACATTTGAAATGGCATTTCTGCGGTCTGAAAATTGAATCCCCCTGCTGATAGATGCCTCTTGCAACTGTAGAATTTGGATTAGTTCCAAGGTCTTGAGAAGAAAAGGTTAGCTGTCATTTATTTGATCTCGAAAAAGAAACAACAACAAAGTTGCAGTAGAAACGATGAGTGATGTTAGAGGGACAAGCTGGATGAGGCAAAGGAACAGAGAGAGCAAGGGAGGCAGACAAGAGCTGAATAAGCCAGAGCGAACAGATGGGATGGAGGGTTTGATGGCTGGAGGAAAAGTAAGGGAAGCAACAAGGAACAAAAGAGGGAGTAGGAGGGGTGGAACAGTGTGGGAGACTGGGGAAGGGAGAGGACAGTAATGGATGGGTCAGTGAAAACTGGGCAAGGAAAAGGGATCAGGAGATTAGGAGCAGTGAAGGAGAGGCATGATTTTTCAAAATGTATTTATTGATTGATGGTGGCTGATATGGAAGAACAGCGTTGGGAATTTGTGACGGCCGCTGACCAAACAAATGTCCTAGTGGCTTTAGATGCTTTGGAAATACGCCAGTTACTCCATGTTAGACGATTCATTCAGGCATCCTGTTACAGAAGACAGAAAGCATCTGTAAAAAAATACACAGGGTTGAGTAGAAGGAAGTAAAGAAAGCCAGGAGAAGTGCATCAAAATAAATGAGGTATGGTCACAACGGAGGAGCACGGGCAGAGGGTTGGATGAGAGGAAGGGTATTGTTTGGCTCAGCTGTGCAATGCCTGATTACACACAGATAACAATCTGATGTTGGTTGCCCTCGAGACAGAGTCTGGTCAGAGAGAGGAAGAAGGAGATATAGGGCAAAAAGAAAGGGAGACGCAAACATTAATAATAAACATAGAAGCAAGGGCCAGGGAGATTTTAACTGTTGATATTTAAGCTTTTAATTCTTTCTTTTTCTCCCCATTTGTGCTGCAGTAAAGCACATTAATATGGAAACAAACTGGTGAGAGATAAAAAAAGAATGAAAGCCAAGGACAGGAGGGACCATTACGACGGGAAAAGAAAAAAAAAGTAGACTGAGAGCAGCTGTTCTATTCAGCCGGCCTGTTGACTAATGAATGCGGATGACCTTTTGTAATACGATGATTATCATATTTTAAAGCAGTTTCATAAAGGTTTATAGAGACAGTTTATCTGCTCATAATGAAGAAATGTCTCCCTCACCCACTGCAGAAGACTACTTTTTATTGTTTTGCTTTTCATTATGCATTATCCCTATTCTCTGTTTATGATAACACTCTTTTATTTATCGAGAGGTAGCTATCTACCTTTAATCAGCAAAAGTTAGAAAACCAGACAATATAAACATAGAAAAAGTTATATCAGAGGTCAAGTACGTGCCCCACTTTGTAAAAAGTTTTCAATAGCAACTTATAGTTGAATTGCCAGTCAATTCATACTTTATTATCCTCTATATATCAGTCACAAACCATTTGTGTGTTGCTACGTCTGCACAATCATCCATCAAGTGCACATTTTAAAGGCAATACGGTTTTAGTGAACAGATTTTCATCCAGATGCACTGCAGGCATTTTCTAGGAAGCACGTTAAGTGGTCAAAATGTTGACTGGTGGGATCTGCCAGATGAAATAAAGAGCTAGATAAAAAGAGAAATCTGGTTGGAGGATGCTAACCGTTAGCTAAAGTGTTTTATAGCCTCGCAGTCCAAATGTTGCAAGGCTGTAAAAGGTTGCTTGCGATGTACTCTATTAGAGAATGGTTCCTAAACACATATTGTGTCTGTTATATTTTGTTTTTCTTGTTGTACACTGGTCTTGGTATGTTTTTGGCATGAATGATGGTGTTGATCGATTGAGCTTGGCACCTCTTCAGGTCGATTCCACTGTATCATTCAAAAGCACTGCTTGTTGCGTGTGTGTTTGAAGAGAAACTGAGTCATGCACACACACACAGGTACAGGATGTACCATTGTTTGTATGCTCCACATAACCTCACAGCGTGTTTTTTTCCTCATTTCCCCTCCAGGCTATCGATGCTTCAAGGCCGTATTGTTCCTCACAGGCCTAATGTTTGGCTCCGTGGTCATCTTCATGCTGTGCTACAAGGAGAGGGTGATGGACACTCAGCTGAGCGTAGAGGCGTCAGTGGGCATCGGCCTGGGCATCGGGACCCTGTGTGGCCTCGTGACCATGTTGGTTCGCAGTGTGGGGCTGTTTATGGTGGGCCTGCTGCTGGGCCTGCTGGTTGGAGTGGCTTCACTGGTGGTGAGGGGACACATTTGATTGGGCAGCATTTAGATTTATGTTGCATTTTTGTACAACATCTCAAATAAAATAACATAAACAATAGGCACATTAAGAGAAATGATACAGCTGCATGTGTAAAAGCATCTTTCACATGTTCGTACGAATGATCTTTACAAATAAGGCATTGGGCTATTTTCACAGGAGAGGCTTTTTAGGCCACACTTTTGGAAAGTTTTTACCTAGAAATGTATGTCCAGGGGATCTGTAGAATCCATGCCTTTAAATTAGTAGCTTACAGCAGTAATGGCAATGTCCATCAGCCAATATAATCATCTGGCATATTAGTGGATAGGCAGAAACAAAAGCTAGCTAGCTTTCTATTTAGCTCGGTATTGATTTGTGCAGCAGGAAGTAGAGTGGTCGTCTACCAATCTAAATGTTGATGGTTCAATCCCTGGCCTTTGCAGTCTACATGTTGAGGTATCCTTGGGAAGATTCTGAACCCCAAATTGCTCCCACTGACTGTGCCATCATTGTCTGAGTGTGTGTGAATGATGAGCTCTGATGAGCAGAGCATGTATGGTAGCTACGTCCACTGGTGTATGAATGAACAGGTGAATGGTGCCTGGGTTGTAAAGCACTCTAAGTGGTTGCTAAGATTAGAAAAGTGCCATATAAATGCAGTCCATTTGACGTGTCAGAAAAGTAGTTTGCTGGCCAAGTAAAAATCAGTCCAGTAGCACTTAAAACCTCAACTCAAAGTAATACTGTACAAGTGACTTTCAGCCACACCACAAGGCAGGCCTTCAGGTTAAATTTTAGAAGCATAAGGGGTATTAGCTAAAATGATAGATTTTGCCTTTTTTTAAAGAAAGATAGTGAGTTATGAGCTGTAGTGCCCATATGCATGTCAAAGTTTGCCATTACTAAACTTGAGGCAAACTCTTGTTTTGGTTTTACGTTGCTACCTTTAACAATTCTTTTCAAATTAATTTGATGTTGAACATGTTTTTGATGTCATAAATGTTGATGTGGCCCTAAGGGGCTCTAATTCTGCTCATTAAAACAAAAATAAAAAGTAAAAGAAAATAAAATACTGACTGCCAAAGTGAAATCCTCCTCTCTCTCTCCAAGGTTATGGAGGAATTCTACCACCCCAGAACAGTCTGGGTTCCTCTGGGTATTCTCCTGGGTTCTGGGACGCTATTTGCTGTCCTCACTCTTCAATGGCAGCGCTGCTTCGTCACCTTCTCCACCGCCACATTCGGCTCTGCCATTATCACTGTGACCGTGGATTACTTTATAGAGCTGTTCGCCTTGGTACACTACGTCTACGAGAGACTGAGGGTAAGCTTGTTGGTGTGTTTGTTTGCGCATTTCTGTGTAAACTGTTACTGGCATTTGAAGTCACCTTGAGGCATGTTTTTTTTTCAGTGTGTCTATGTGTTTGAAGGTGGATACATCATTACTTTGTCCCTGGGTTTTGTTATTGCACTGTTTGCCTCGGTCAGCGATTTTCATGCGTGTGTTTGTGTGACAGTGAGACAGAAAGACAGTTTGGTAGGCCGATAGATAAAATCTCTCAGAGAAATGGGAGGTTGGTGCTTTTGATATGTGTGTAGATAAGGGAAAGACAGGCTGAGTAAGGCATGGATAATATGAATAAAATCTTCATTTGGAGTATGTATCGTTTTATGTTGTTATAATGATATATATAAATACAGTCAACTTCAAACAAATTCAATTGAAAACCCATTTGTAGATAGGATACCCAAATGGAAATGTCTGTTTCTCAGCTAAATCAGTGAACTAATCGCTAACAGAACTAATGCAAAAATATTGTAAATCCAATATAGCCATGAAAACATCCTGCACGCTGCAACATTGCCTGCAACGGCTTAATTCAAAATCTGTTCCCTCATTTGATTTGTTGTTGCTGCTGGTGAATAGCGCATGTCTGTCCAACATCTCCCACAGGTGCTCAGTTGGGCTGTGGTCTGGCAACAGAAAATAGCCCCTGCAAATAATTTGCATCATTTTAAAACACATCACATAATTAAGTGACCCTTCATGCCCTGTGTGGAAGCCCTGAATTTATTCAGTTCATCCAATTATTTATTAAGGTCTTTAATTCAGTTTGTCACGGCCTGTGTTTGGTTTGTTGCCCCATCGTTAATTTAATTTTCAACCTTTATAACATGTTCAGCTTACCGTTCCGACCTCTTTTATTTACTCAACAAAGAATGGGTGAGGTTCAGTATTCAGAATGGCCCTCTTTCACAAGTTTTATTTGACTAAGCCCACAGACTTTTGCATGTAGATACGTGGGAGCCCTGCTGGAGCAGCTGTGGTTCAAACTCCTTGACTCGACCTGTTTGTATTGGTATATCTGTGTGTTTTATGTGTTGTGTTTTTTTGTGTAAGAATAACTCTTGAAACTCTAAAGAGGTTTTGAGAATCAGACAAAAGTATTATAATTTCGTTAGGAGCCCCTTATTTAGCACAACATTGACAGTCAAATTAAATTATTAAACTAAAATTCTCTGTGTAATCTTTGCAGGTGGCACCAAAGAGGCCAGTGTGCTGGTTTACTTGGGTCATCTTGGGGGTGTGGCCTGTCCTGGCCCTCCTCGGCGTGCTGATCCAATGGAAAGTCACCGCAGAGGGATTTTCTCACACAGAAGGTGAGTGATGTTGCTTTACACACACAACCAGACATCTTTTACCATTAAAGCTAATTTAGGACACCCATATTTTTGTGGCTGGACCACCATATTTTGGAATCATTTTTTAAAACTGTATAGGGGTCATGACCCAGTGTACAAAACACGATTGAAGTGCAGGAATACATTAGTGTTTCAACAGCCACAAAATCATTTCATCTAATGAGATGTTTACCTTACAGTATAACCCATGGAAACCAATTACAATAATGAAGCAAAAGAACAGCCAGAACACTGACCTTATACTAAACCAGAAAATCTCTTAAACTGTTGGTTGCTCCTTTGCATTGGTAATTGGATGTTGTGTAAAAAAAAATATGCAGTTGTCACAGTACTGAAAACAGGGCTGAGCAAGGGTGTAGGTTTTGTTTTAACATTAGGGTGGATACATATAAAACGGGATCCTCTGCAAGAAACTTTTGAGCATCAGACACTTAACTATGATGTAAATATCTTAAATTCTGTCAAAATATAACTCCTTAACTACTCTTTTTACTGAAGGGGACAAATGTACATGTCCAAAATCTACACCTATGGAGCTGAGGACTCAAATGCAGACACTTGTAGGCAGAGCACGTTGAATAAAGACATGCAACCAGAGTTTCTTGTCAAAAACAGGCTTACTCAGCAATTTGAAGTCAGCCCAAGAAAGCAAACAAATCCAAAAGTGGTCAAAGACAGGTGAGAAACAGGCAGCAGGTCCAGGCATGGGCGGATTTACAGAAACGGGCAGAGACAGCATACAAGCACATGCAGGGGGATATTGGATAAAGGCTTACTGAGGAGCTGCTGAGGAATTAGGAGCAGGTCTGCAGGTGTGGGGGTCAGGTGGAAAGGCAAAAATATGCCAGGGACATTTGCTAGACAAAGGGGATGGCAGGACTGGAAAATCCCATAAAAATTCAGGGACCTGGGGAAAATAAGAATGTCTGAGGCAGAGGGGACATGTAAGAAAGCAGCAGACTTTGATCTTTTTTCCGTGGGGATTTTAATAAAAACATCATAAAAGCTAACAAATTCATAAAAATGCACATATCTTATGTATAAAGAGTAAGTTGCATTTGCACTAAATTTGGGTGTAGTAGTTTACTGCTGAAATAAAGCTACAGTTTGAAACAGCTTCTGCTCCTCTGCTCAGAAACAAGAGAGGTGGTGCTCACCTCAGTGTGTCCGCTGTAGCTTTATGGCAATGTAGGCCACAGCCACAAGCTTCAGGCAAGGCTGGTGCAGACCTCTGGAAGCACATGTTGTATAGTGTGTAGCTTAAATTCATATTCTTATTCACAGTATTTACCACTTATATCACCCATGACAGCAACAAATGAAGGACTCCTGCTGGTATACCATGCTGTAGGAAGTGTGTACGTGCAAATGCTTTAGTTTGTGCATGGGATGTTTAATTAAGGGTGCATTCAATGCAGTTATAAGTGATAAATGTGCAACTTCCACACAAACATGTATGTCTGTCTGTGAAGTTGATTTTAACTTCAATTTTAGATACTTAGTAAACATGTCAAGTAAACAAAATGATGATGAGGTTTGAGTCAGTATCGATCTCACAAAGGCCACTACAAAGTGGTGCCATTTGATCAAGACTGACAAATCTATCCTAATTTTATTAAATAGGCAGTTTTATTGGCAGCTTAAGACATCACAAACATTGTGAGGGCGAGGAACACTGTTTGTGTCTGTGCGTGTGTGTGTGAGAGAGAGAGGGAAAGTCTGAATACAACAACATGAAAGTTGGTGTATTCAGTCTTAATCTGTTTTGAAAGCAACCACAACACAGATGGCAAGATCACACACACACACATACACACACACACACACACACACACACACAGTGTAAATACAGCACACAGACAAAATGCACACAACTCATACACGCAAATAGCCTCAGACAGAGACAGAAATATTTTGAGGCTTAGTCTCCCACTCACTAATATACCAGGAAAAAGTGACACGCACACATCTCGTTTGTTCGTACACAAATACACAAACACACACGTAAACTCTCGCATTTGATCTTTGCTGGCTTATGACATGCAGAGTTAAACAGTGTCTTAGAAGAAGTCACACATGGCCTCAAATAATGGGATTAAACAGCAGGCTGTCGTGGCTTCCAGTCAGAGGGTGTGAGCACGGAGATAGAAGAAGCTTTTTAGTGCTATTTTGAAAAATGTGCATTTGGGTGTGAGGTAAAGAGACCTAGAATGAGGGCAGAGGCATAGGGAAGGGATACAGGCTGAAACTGTCAATAAGAGGGGACTGATTCTCCAAAAATTTAAGACACGCCACTTTGTCAAAGTACAAAAAGTTGCTAAAATGCCTTCTTTTTCTAGCATCTGGCAATCGGTGACGGAAAGGTTACTTTTTAAGTATAGATTAAGAATTACAAGTTTCCCTTTTCAAATAATTGAAGTAATTTAAGTGATGGAACTGTTTTAATTATTTCACCAAAGTAATGTAACTTGTTGCATTTGATTAGTTTTTGATTACTTTTAGAAAAAGAAAATAAAAATAGGCAATAAAGCAAAATTTTTGAAATCGAACATTTTGATTTACAATTTAAAATTTACACTATACAGTAATGTTAGAGCCCTTTTCTGATTTCAGAAGAAAAAATTTGTTGAATTTCCAGCACTGAAAAGTATTCTCGCCTGACAACATGGCCACCAGCCTTGGTGTGGTTGGCTGGTCGCAGGCGTGGCAGATCAGTCATCAGTCAGCAATAGCTGCCTCCCATGCACATCATACCACCGCAAAGAGTGTCTTGGTGCGTTGGTGTCTGACGCTGACATTTTCTGACAAAGTGGCGGTATTTGAAGAGTTTGGAGTGAGAACGGGCCGGCCTATCTTACCGTTAAACAATAACACACAGACAAATGAATTCAAACATAGATTTCAGTGAAATATGTTAGAATGAGAATTGTTTTGGCACGTAAAGGGTCCCACACAGAAGGAGGGATTATAATAAAGAGAAAAAGAAAAGAAAAATTACTTAAGTAGCGAAGGATGATAATGAAAAAAGACACACAAAAAAATAAAAGGAACAAGAATTTTGCGTGCTTGTTGCCGTAGATACTGCCTGTGATCAGGAAGAAGAATGTGGGGAAAATGAGGGGGAGGCTCCAGCAAGAGAACTGTGAATATTACAGCATTTACTGCTTCTTTGTGATAGAAGTCAGGTCAGGAAGGGTCATATTACTTTAACCCCCCTTAAATGTACATATACAGCATGCAATCTTTATTGTAACTTTATTGTAAAAAAAATATATATATATATATATATATAAATTTACAGCTTTTTTGTCCTTTATGTTGACAGAAATTGTACTGACAATGAAAGACGGATAGAGGACAGGATAAGGGGAAAAGAGGGAGCAGGTGTACTGGGGGAAGGGCAGTGGAGGGTAATAAACTGGGGCACAATGGGTAAGCAGGGCAAGTGGAGCAGTAAGGAAAATCATCTGTCTGTCAACTGATTGAATAGCGTGCAGGACACAGGCATGAATGAATTAGCCTGCACATGCTCACATGTCATTTTTCTTTTTTTGTTGTCTGCATTTGTTGACAATGATTCAATACCCACACACACATTCTTGTACTTGTATCTTTGTGAGGACCCTCGTGACATAATCCATTCCCTAGCCCCTTGCCCTAACCTTAACATAATTATATCCTAAAATGTCCTCACTGTATTACTAAAATACATATTTGGTCCTCACTATGTAGCATGTACAAAGATATAACCACATGCACACACACGCACTTGTGAGACCCTATTCACATAATTTATACCCAAGGCACTAACCCTAACCTGAATCATCATAACAAAAGTAAACCCCAACCCTTAGCCTATCTCAAACCTAAACTCTCAAACAGCCTTTCAGAGTGGTCAAGACTGGCCAAAATGTCCTCCCTCGCAAAGTGAAAAGCTGGTACTTGGTCCTCACAAAGATAGATGAACAAGATGACACACAGACACACACAATAGCATGAAGCCAGAGGGGCCTGAGGTGGGGTGAGCTGAGGAAAAGAAAAGGGGGGGTATCATTAAGCAGTTTCCCTGGCAGATGGTGCCTCGTTAGCTGTCCGCCCGCACAAAGAAACAACAATAGACCTCATAACACTTCCACACCCACCCACACATACACGTTAGCTGTGACGCATACAGTACATCTTGTCTTCGTGAAGTTCAGCGGGGTCGCTGTACTTGCGGCAACATTTTGACCTCACATAATGAACACAAAACAGATCCCTGACACTGCTGCATATTAAACCACTGAATTAAAATGCTTACAAACACGCTTACCCAAAAATAATCATATGTGGAATCAATGGAGAGCGAGACAGGATGGATTTTGGACATCCTTCGCTGGGGAGGGTGTGAAAATAACACGAACACACTCACCCACTCACAATATGTCAGGAGACTGAGCAGCGCAGTACGAGTACATGCAGCAAGGAAAATTATGTCTGCCAACGGAGTGAATAGAATGAAGGACGTGAGGAAATGGATATCAATTTTTTTTCCTCTTTTTGTAGCCTGTACTTAGTGTAGGATAACCCCCTTAGGGATAGTTCATATCAGCATTTCAAAGATGATTTAAATATTCAGAAACATCTTATCGAAGGTTTCTCCTGTTTTATAGTCAGTCAGAGTGATTCTGAATTTGTCCTTTTCTCTTGATTTAATCATGTAATTTTATTTCCCTATAAAGGCTGCGTTCTACTGTCCTCATCATCCTCTCCCTCCCTTATGATTATCTACCGTTTCTTCTCTCCCCACACCTTATCACATCTCTGGTCTCTTTGTCTCCAGTGGTTTTAAGTCGACAGCAGCGAAGGGTCCAGCTTATGCGGATCCGACAGCGGGAAGAGAGGCTGAAAAAGGAGAAGGAGAACAAGAAGAAGAAAAAACGAGAGACCCACAAGCCCAGCCACAAGCAGAAAGGCCACACCCATCACCACCACCACCAGCAGTACCATCACCCAGCTGCATCCCATCCTCATCACCAAGCCCAGAGCTCTCAGCCACCTAAAGTCCCTCCTCCTCAGACTGAACCTGGCTACCACCGCAAGGCCAACCCTAAAAGGCGCTTTGATGGAGATGTGCTGTCACCGGTAAGATGCAGTAGCCTCCTTATTCATAACATGAAATGAAGCTGAGATTCTGGCTGTAAAAGTCAAAATGTCATGCTGTCAAAAAGATTTCAAGAAACAACAGTAATGAGCTCTCCAGCAATGTTTTCTTGAATTTATGAAGAGAACGCATGCCTCCACAGAAAACAGCAAACATATTGATTTAGTGATTGATTGGGGTCCAGGTTTAACAGCAAACTATGTCAAAACATACTTTAACAAACTCTCACACAACACATGCACTATAATCCAAGTCTCATTTATCCAGTTGTGTGCTCAGTACTTCCCAAGCACATGCATTTTTTCTAAGACCCTACTATTTAAAACTGAACTGACAGTGAAGCGTATCTATGCTCTCTCCAAAGCCAGACTGATAGAGAGATTGAGCATATTACTGGATAAATGAGACCTGGATTATACTGTATGAGTTGCAGGAGAGTTTTTAAATGGATGTTTTAATGTAGTTTTGCTGTTGGTAAACATAATCAATAAATCAACATGCTGTGGAGGCATGCAAGACCTTGTGACTTCAAGGTAGCACATTATGACTACTTGATATACAAGTGGTCATTTTGTGGGTGAAGTAACAAATACACAAAAATATGTGGCTCCATATTTTACTTATTCCATCCATACTACACCTTTAAATGAAAAGTTTGACATTTTGTGAAATAGGCTCAATCACTTTCTTTGCCAAGAGTTAGATGAGAAGATTGTGCCATTTTCATGTCGGAATGTACAGTATGAAACTAGAGCCAGCAACCAATTAGCTTAGCTTAGCTTAGCATCAGGATTGGAAACAGCTAGCTTGGCTGTGTTTGATGGCAACAAAATTTGCCTGCCTTACTGGAGACTGAGTGTGGGACTATCTCTTGGCCAGGAGCAATGAAGTCTTGTTGCCTCAGTGAGGTTTCCATGGCAACAAGCAGACTTCGGGAGGTCAGTTCTCCAAGCAGAGATACAGCCTAGTACTGCAAATGACCCTGGGTAAAACCACAAAGTTTTGTTTTTATACTGAACTTTTTGCACACATCAGTTAGCTGTAGAGCTGCTGAGGTGCTGGTAGATTTTGTTACCTTTCGGTAGAGCCAGGGTAGCTGTTTCCCTCCTCCTCCAGTATTTGTGCTGAGGCAATCTAAGCATCTTCTGACTCCAGTTTTCTATTTAATAGCAAGATATCAGAATGGTATTGATCTTCTTATCTAACTCTTGGCAAGAAAGGGAGTAAGTGTACTTTCCAAAATGGTGAATCCTGTCTTTATCATCAGTTGTACAATTGCTTTCACGACCCTGTTTCATCTGTCTGTCCACAGAGCTACATCAGGAGCTTCAGGGACAGACAGACGGACAGACGAGCATACTCCCACAGTCGGATGAGCCGCTCCCGGATGGCCGAACTCGACTACGACTGCGGCTCTCGAGTGCCCCTCACGGCTCCCAGCGGACCTCCAGTTCGCATCTGAGACAGAGAAATACATAAACAACTGACCACACACACAATCACACAAGGCCACTTCAAACCTCTTTGTCACAGTTAGGGATAGAAAGCCTAACCCTACTGTGCCAACCTAATCAACTGCCTATTAACCCAACAGGAACTCAATATGTCCCAGTAAAGTGGTGAGCCCCACACTGGTTCTCTCCTCTCAGACCTGTTAGAAGTTGTATTTATTTGGCCAGTTTGGTCCTGTTTTGTTCTTTATGAATGTCTAGACACAAGAGCGGAGCCTCTTCCTTTGGATGGAGCAAGAACCGATTGCTTGGTCAAAACATGAGTCATACTGTATGTCAGACCTCTTAAGTTGCCAGTCTGGACAACACTGGAACTAATGGACCACTCTGGTGGGGAGATGATTGAAAGATCTCTGTTGAACATTTGAGTTAAAGAATCGTTTGGTTGCTGCAACTCATAAGAAGTCATTTCCAGTGGGACTGCAGTGGGGGAAAGAATGAAACCCTTAATTTCTCCACAGGAGGGCTATACCATTTCAGATGAAAATACATCACATGGCTCTCATGGAGTCAAGGTAGCACAACCTTCAGTAAACCTTCAACAGCATCTTTAGTTCGAGGGCAATTAAGGAGTAAACAATTTGCTTCAAGGATTTTATCACGAGGAAAATGACAGAAAAACAACACCAACAAAAAAACACAGCTATAACTGAAACAGAAAGGCAGCTCTTCTTCATCATATTTTCCACTGAAAGGTCAATGTGTGAAGTGATGTGTACATGAAGTTAGCCTGTTGTCTTCTCTGACAGTCTGTGAATCCAGACATGACAGCACAACTCTTCTGCTGCTTGAAAATGCAGAACAGGGACTGCTTTGAGGTGTGCATAGGGATCCAAGAGTTCACACCGCAGACAATTTTTATGTCATTTCACCCACGAACCCTCCATGTGTCATCGCTTACATTGGTGCCATTTTCCAAGGGGAATATGCTTGCATGTCACAACTCTCCTTTTGCCCTCGATCGCCAGCTGTTTTAACAATGGACCCAAGCAGGAGACACGTCCGTATCGCCCCTCCTCTTTCGTCTCTCCACTGAATTTAAAACATTTTCGTAAGCTACTGTAATTATCTTTGTTGACACGTTCTAAGTGCTCTCATGTTCCTTTGTTGAATCCATCAGCCATTTAAACATGCTGTTAAGGCACAAAGACAAGAAACTGCAATCTGATACTGATCATCCAGGAATTCAGAGTTCGGAGGGGACAATACATGGCAGTGAAAATGTTAGTGTGTTTGTGTGTGTGAGTGGACACAGGAGCCCTGTGGCAAGTGATGGATTGCACCAAATATTGGCCAAGGAGAGGGGGATTCATTGTAATGTATGTGGAACATGCTGTGTTGTTTTTCCTCTTTTTTGCCAATATACTGGTCCAGTTAAAGATGTCAGTCTGATGGTTTGGATGAATTGTTAATGATAAAAAAAAAAAGGAGGAAGAGGAAGATAATCTCTTGTAAAGGATGAGACACAGTGAAAAGATGAAATCATTTGCAAATGGCGCCCTCTAATGTTTACCACTGGACCTTTTTTTCTAGACTTAGTGTTAATGTGTGCATACGTTTGTGTGTTACATGCATTTGCGTGTGAGTTGCTTTTAAATTCAGTTGTGCGCCGAACGCTGATGTTGTTGTTCTGACCATCCAGAAAGGTGAAGGAAGTTAGATTTGTACAGGAGGTATTTTTAGTACAATGAAACTACTTTTGTTTTATTTAAACCTCTTTGGAATTGAGGCAGTGTAGTTCCATGTAGTTTATGAGGTTTAGATAAAAAAAAAAGATCCCACACTACTGTACTTAAATACTGCATACCTGCTGGGATGTGACAGGCTTGACACTGGAGGACCAACCATTCTCACCATAACCCATTACTGCATGAGAATCCTTGTGTAACTGTTTACAATGTGTCAGTGTTTCGATGTGTCACTGTTGTCATGTGAAAACATCAGATTTCCATTGATGGTTTGTTGGTCCCAGGCTGCACAAATCCACAGTGAAGTTAAACTTGTGGAAGGATGTTTCAGTATCAGCAGTATACAGGAAAGAAACATCACCTCAGTGCAGTTTTTTAAAATGATTATAGTACATTAGTGAATCTCAAAAGGACCAACCGTAACCTTTTCTGCCAGAGAGAATAGGTCCAACTTAACACACCTCTTCTCTTCTCTTCTCTTCTCTTCTCTTCTCTTCTCTTCTCTTCTCTTCTCTTCTCTTCTCCTCCGTCTCTGTTTACGCTGTCCAGGTAAAGGGCTTTGAAAGGCATTTGAATATTTTCCCTCCTCTTGACACGCATTATGCTAACTCACCTCCTATTCTGCTGTATCATTGTTTACCCCAATAATGTTTTGCAGTAGTGGCTGTTCGGGTCTTATTTGGGGTTTCGCTTACACTTCAGTCTTGTTTGGGTCTTCTCTTGGGGTTTTACTGTAGTGTGCTTGAGGTTACAATATTCTATTAGCTCATGCAGAGCCCTATATTGGAATCTGTGGGTAATATTCTCCTCCAAACATGAGCAACCATTCGGCCACTGTAATTTGCGTACATAGCCAGCCAGTCAAAAAATGCCGACCTGAATATGTAGCCCACAGTAGACAAGGAAGTATTATGAAGTCATTAGTCATCCTACACCTTCTTCGCCAAGTGGTATAGGAGCAATGGAGCCACTAGGTAGAGGGCTCTGCCTATGCTAATAGAACTGGGGTTACAATATTATAACCTTTGTTCTATCTCACACAGGCTCCACCCTCTAGTGGACACAATGGGTACAGTGGGTGGAGCTCAATGAATAAATGCTCAACATAATTTTGACCCAGCCACACTGACCCCGCTCCACAGATATTTGAGTAAGCATGTCCTGATTGGCCGGCTACATTTATGCAAACTTCAGCGGCCCAATGCATGCTCCTGATTGGAGGAGAATATTACCCATAGTCTCAAGTAGAGGGCATGGCCTACATGATATAGAACGTCATGACTGTCTTTACATTTTTGAAAGACAAAAATTTACAAAAAGATCATTATGAAACATTAGCCTTGCTCTTGTTTGTAATTTGGGGACAAAATGAATTATTATTAGATTATCAGTTCTTTTTATTATTATTTTTTTGTGATTGCCTGTCACTGCTGAATATACATTGAGGGAAACACTTACTGTAGATACTGACCTGTAAATAATTTTTAAATGTACAAAATGTTTTCTTTTACTTTCACGTTTACACCGCTTCTGTCATTCATCCAGCTGATTGGATTAGAGCTCTTTTATATTGTGTTGCTACTGTATGTCCAATTATTTTGATTTGGCTGGGTGGTGGATGCACTTTCTCATCCTGCTGTTTCAACGTGTGATGTTGAAAATCAGCAAACAAACTGAGCCTCGACTCTGATTATCAGCAACCATCGGTTACTCAGTAATTGCTCTGCAATTTTAGAAGAGACGGCAATTAATTTTCCTACCAATCTGTTTAAATGTGTACAAATCACCTGATTATTATTATCATTATTATTATTATTATTATTACTATTATTATTGAGCATGAATTTATATGGACCTAAAATATGATAAACATTGTGACTCTACAATCTAATGGTCTTGTTTGTCTCTGCTGTTCCTACATAGTGATTTATGTATACAGACTATTCATGAGTAAAGATATCATACACTCAGAGGCACACACACACACACACACACACACACACACACACACACACACTTAGATTTTACATTCATTCACATTTCAGAGAACAAACTTCCTTTTGCTTGTTTGGCCAGTGATACTAAAACCAGCTATTATAATACAGTAAAACAGTGCTGCCATTACATAGTTTGTCTAACAGAGAGCACTGACAGGTTTATTATTATTGTAAAATGTCCAGCTCAGTATGTATGTTGGTCACCATTCTTAAAAAAATAAATCTTAAGGGATCTCTATACCTTTGGCTGATTTATCATTTTGGGTTTTTTAAAGCTCCCAGATCTGAATATGAGCATGGGTCGGGCTGTACAGTATATACTATTCCATATAACGTTATATAATACTTCTTACAGCTCTGCAGGTCTCAGCTATGATAAAGAACTATGGAAGAGTTACATAACAGATGGAATAACTGAGCATCTGGTTGGCTGACTGACTCCAACTTCATGATGCCTCTATGCCACTAACACTTTGCACCGAGTGGGTCTGACAGGAGGTTTCAGGCTACATTTGCATTGCTTCATAATAAACTACAGTGCAGCAGTTATGGAACATGGTATATAAGTTGTGGTTTTACTTGTTGAACAGTGAGTCTGCCAAACACAAATCTAATCAGGGGGAAAAAAGCTCCACAAAGCACTAAAGGAACCACATCTAATGTTTTTTATGCCTAAATGCTTTAACATGTACTTCCACCAGCTGATAAAGGAGAGGTCACAGAGGTTAGCTGACTCCATCTAAAGGAACTGAAGTGGAACATTCTGCCCTGTTTTTTATTGACTTATAATAATTGGCAAGCTGTTGCCATTGGCAGCAGTTGCGAAGAAACCATGACAGAGACAGAAAGTTCTGATCAACATTGCTCCACCAATTACTGGCGAAGCAGTGAAATGACTGTCTCTGACTTTCTCTGCCTCTGTGGCTCTTTCTTTGTTCCGCCTAATTATCTCTCCCTAAATCTTCCTTGTGTCTTTTTCGTCTGTGTCTCTGAATAACCTTTTCATTACATTTGCACGCTCTCTCCCTTTCTTGTTGTCTCCCCGTGCCACCCTCCCGGTCTCACTCTCTTTCTTGCATTCATTGACTGCCTTCACTGTATCTTGCATTTCTCTCTCTCTCTCTCTCTCTCTCTCTCTCTCTCTCTTCCTCCACTTTTTTTTTTTTTATCTCTGCTGACATTTTCAGTCCAGTGACTTCAGACACAAACCGCACACACTATATTATTCTTGATGCTGTGCTAATCTGCTTTCCGCTGGAAACAAAGCACGACCAAGGCCTGCTCATTAACAAGCCATTGTTCGCTTTCCCCTATGCCGAGATGAGTCCTGTTACTGATAATTTCAGCAGGGCGGCAACTCCTATTTTCTCTATAAAAGTGAATTAAATGCTAACAGAGGACGGTTATGCCTGGCTGGGAAAGCTGGTTTCATTTTCGAAAGCTAACTTAGCCCACATCAGATGATGAATGCAGTGGGTGGAAACAGTTCATAAAGGAACTGATGCAAAGGCACGGACGCTATCAGAGGAATGCTAATGAGCAGAGGTTAAAGAGGAGAACGTCTTACACAACACACATGCTATGACATGACATTTATTACAAAATCTGAAGCAACTAGCTGACTCTCAAGCCACAAACAGAGATAACCAATGTCTTTATTTGAGTTTCTGGCCACAGTGAAGCAGCGTTACATGGTCACCCATACAATCAAACACCCAGCACATGCTGTTGAGCTCAAACTTCAAACATGAATTCCCTTTTTCATTAGATGTCTGTACTTCTGACACAACACCTCACTTTCTTACATCTCCTTAATCAGTTACACAAATAAAATCCCTTCGTAATCAAGTCATATATTCGTACATTTGCACAGAGACTTGGAATATGTGCAGTGAAATGTACCGTTACAATATTGACCGTGGTGTTTCAGGCCCATTGATCTGTCTTACACCTTGCAAACTTCCCTGTGGATTCTGGGCCAATACAGCTACACATAGCCTCACTGATAATTTTAAACTCTTGCCAATGAATTAGTTTTGCAGACAAGATATGATGAATTCATGTGTTTTTCAGAGAAGGAAAGTAATTCGAGTAAAACATTATTCCTGGAATGCCCTTTATTTAAAACCAGGCTAAATAAAGGCAGCACATTATGCCTCCATACTGCATCCTGTTTATGATGTACAGTCTAAAGATGGATACTGGCTGTATACTGGTTGCATTCACTCATGGTTTTGTGTTTCATTTTAAATCAGCTGAAAAGGTCAGAAGTCTGTCACTAAAAATAGGCACAGCTTATAAATCGTAGTAGGAAAATGTCCATATTTTTGCTATGTTTTTATTAATTTATTACATATAGTGTTTCTAACGTTGCCTCCTCTGGTTTACATGATGTCCTGCTGGTGCTGTGTGGACTCGCTGACAACCTGAGGAGGAGAAAGGAAGGTATTGTAAGCATTATTTATGTTAAGGACTGCAGAGAGTTGCAGATAATACGTGAGAGTGTTTTCCATCAGCAGTGAAGCAGGTATTGTTTGGAGTGAAGTGCTGTGCGGGGGGGGGGGACTGACAGTGAAGCCGGTGTGGAGCGTTGAGGTTCGACGCAAACTACAAGATTTCAGGGATCACTGAGAGGCTAGAAATGTTTTTGCAGCTATGACTTCAATCCGTAGATTGCTTTATGTTCTCTGTGCTGTCAGAGCCACGTGTGATCTGCAGCCTACTTTAGACACAGATTTGAAATCTGGTAGTTTGCTTCAGCTCGCGGTGAACGCACAATGTAGGTGGTATATTGGAACCAGACTTACAGACTGGGCACTAGCGCCCTGGCTCATAGAAAACTTCATCTAGATAAGAATATAACACATAAAAATGATTCAGTTGGAGAGTTATTTATGTTAGCTCTTAGAGGGAGACAACATGTGCTGGTCAATTTTGGTATTTTGGGCTAGTTTGCTTCCATATCATAGCTTCTTTGAGACTAGTGGAAAGAAAACATCCAAAATACACATTTAGGTGTCTATTTTAATTCAGATTTCTGTCCTGGAAATGTATGCAAACACACATATTTAATTGGATAATGTCTTATTTGTGTATTTTAGCATAAAATTTCAGAAAACTTGAAATGTAAAAATATAACTGTCTTGATGTAAGTAATCATTCATGGTGATAAGTCAATGTTTTTTAACCCTATTCACCTGTAGTGTCTTAATATACATCTAAAAATGTATGGAATTTCACAACACATATCTTTAAAAGGTAATTTTCTAACAGTTTTCTCATACTCTACTTCAGTATAACTTTCCAGATTTATTCCTATCTATATTCTGAAGGTTTTTACTGCAGGGTTTGTCCATCATCATTTAAACCCTGATTTATATCGAGGACTATATAAAATTTTTACCCTGTTCGCCTGTAGTGTCTCCCCTTAGCAGCTCAAATAAATAGGTGCATCACAGTTTATAGGGTTTGTGTCTGTTGGGGCTGAAAAGTGTGCTATATGTCATGTATATATGCATACCTACATAAATATATATACAGTATGTGTGTGTTTTTGTGCTCAAACCTCTCCATCGCGGGTCTCGATGGTCTTGATGAGAACAGTCTTCTTGGAGTGAACCTCTGAGGAGCGCTGATGCTGCGACTCAGGACTGGTCTCTGTGAGAAAACATTCACACAGCTTTTATACTTGATACAATAACCTTTGCTGCAGTCACAGAGTGTCCATTCAGCCTGGAGACATTAGTTCAGTAATTAACTGGCTTTGAATAACATGATGGCACGCCTTGCACACGAAGGGGACAGCCATGAAACAGCCTTTGAAGCTCGTATGACAGCCGCTTAAAAGTGTAATTATTCAAACTCATATTCAAAATCAATGGTGCTAATGAATCGGGGCTGCACCTAATACATCATCTTTAATTACTGCTCAGTGTTTTCATTTAAGTAGCTGCACAGAGGTGCAAGGGGAGGTATGGGCAAAGATTAATTGCACGTTTGGACTGTTAATACATCAAGTGAATGGGCTAAGTTGTGTGATTATTGATGTGTGGTTTGTTGATGATTGGCCCAGTGCTTCAAAGAGCCTTGAAGGTTTTTGACATGTCGTATATTGCCACACAGTGGTCACAATGTGTGACTGCAGGTAAGCGACATGTAATGTCCTCAAAATAGCTCCTGCCATACAAAGTCACAAGCTATAATTAGTCTTTTTTATTCCCTCATTGACTCATCTGGAATGTAAAATGGATTTCATGGGTATTTGTGTGTGAAGGAAAGAATGTGAGCTGTTTCTCCTACCTCTGAATCCAATGGAGGAATAAGCAGTCTGGACAGGCCCAGTGGTAGTGATCCTGCAGAAAGGAAAAAACACAAATTTGAGCCCTACAATCCAGTAATAGGATGGAAACACGAAAATGAAAATTAAACACCTAAATGAAACAAAGTCAAGTTATGATAGCCATGATAGCCACACACACCTGCTCTCCTCTCCCTCCAGCAGCTTGCGGTAGGTGGCGATTTCAATATCAAGGGCCATCTTCACATTGAGCAGGTCCTGGTATTCCCTCAGGTGACGAGCCATATCATCCTTTAAATCAATACACAGAAAGTTTTATTGTCTGCTCTGATAAACTTCACACCAAGCACAAAATCACTAGGGAAACTGCAATAAAGGGAACAAATACTATGGGAAGGAAGTGTGTTTGTAATGTCTGTAAAATTAGAAACACAGGCAGTGTTCCCAGAAGATTCAGTGATACTCAAGTTTGCTGTCAGTTCATTTTTATAATCAGTGTTGCAGTAGCTAAATCTTTGAGCCCCTAGTCAGTGATTATCACCAGTGTAAGAAATATCCTGCTTTCATAATCTGGTGGATTCATGGACTAAAAAGTCAGTGTGAAGTCACACCTTCATCTTAGCAATGTCTTCCTCCAGCCGTGAAATAGTATCCTGGTAACTAGAAGCCTCACGGCCCATGCGGTCCTCCATGTCTCTCATCTGGCGCAGCAGAGACTCATTCTACAGAGGAACAGAGACATTAAGTTAGAAGTGGGACAGAGTGAAAACAACAGAAAGATGGAGATATGTGTATCTTGACATAAAGTACAAGCATATTAAGAAGCTAAAAGAATGGAATAAACTGAGAGGTGCTGCATCAATACTCACGGTGCCCTTGAGTGAGTCGATCTCACAGGTGTAGGACTGGATCTGGTGCCTGTACTCCATGGTCTCCTGCTTGGC